CAGAGGGGCGCAGTCCATGCTTGCTATGTCCTTGTATTCAAACATCACGGTGAGCCGCCATGGCATTTCCTTGTGCCTGCCCCCCTGTCCCGACCCTGTCTCTTATACACATCTAGATGTGTATAAGAGACAGGTGCGGGGGCGGGGGTGTGGGCTGGGAGCGGGGGTGGCGGGGTTGGGGCAGGGCCGGGGTTGTTTTTGCAGGGGCGGGGGTCGGGTAGCCCCGCGGCGGGGGTCCGGGGTTGAAACCCCTACCCCGGCTTGGGCCCCGGGGATCCCCGCGTGACAACGCTGGTCTTCACCTCCACATGGCGACGGATCGTAGATCGAGAGTCGGCAATTGCTTGCCATGGTGCTATAGTTGCAAGCGCCGATTTCTCCGTGGCGGCGGTCATGATTCTATTAATTAATAACATGTCATTATTTACAGGCAGCTGAAATAAAGTGAACATCCTGCAACACTGTTGCGGTTGTTGTTCACAGTCAGGGATTTTTTTTTTTTTTTTTTTTGTCGCGGCTATTATTAGTGTCTCGTTGTGCTGTTATGATTGGGAACATGCTATCCCCTTTATTTGGTGGTTCGGAAGCCATCCGCGTTTGTTAATTAAATTTTCCATTTTCGTTTTCTTTTTGCTTGATTTGTAGTGCATTGTGGAACAGGTGTTCTTGTGATGTGACTGCATAACGAGTGAAATATGTGGTGTACTAGCTCTTTTCCGCTGTCTGCAGCACGCAGCAGTCGATCCACACGATGCTCCAGCCCATTTTTTTGTGACGTCTGTGTCCGTATACAGGATGTTGCAGTTCCGTGTACAGGATACTTCAGTCGCGTTTTCCACTGAAATGCAAAAAAAAAAAAAAAAAAAAAAAAAAAAAACTCTTTCCTCCGTGCTCGGATCTGCGCATGGCTGATCCGATCACGAGGTACGTACATATCCGAAAGAACACCAGTGTGATGAGAAGAGGCCGTGACAAGCAATGTGAGCAGAGAACAAGCAATGCACCACAGAAAAAGAAACAAAATAATCAAATGCGGCACAGCGGATTACGAAAAAGATAAGACCTGGTTGTATCTTGCACTATACTCGATTATCATTCCCATCTTCAAACATGGGGGTTAACCATGCAGGCTACACACATACACCAAAGTTTCCCGCTTTAAATGCGCAATCATCATGACACTGGAAACTCTCTCTCTCTCTCTCTCTCTCTCTCTCTCTCTCTCTCTCTCTCTCTCTCTCTCTCTCTCTCTCTCTCTCT